CTTCAAGTCTCACTAAAGACAGGCATGTCACATTGCCAGACACTGTGTGCCTGCACCAGCTACAGGGATAAATTCTGATTCATTGCAGCCCTGTTTTAAGAGGTTTCTTTTCCATGCGTCCCAGAACCCTGAAGCTTGTATTCGAAAAAATCTGCACATTTGAACTATGGTCCGGTTTTAATTATAGATTGAAGCATTTCATCTGTTGTCCTGTTCATAATGAAGAGGCACTTGCGTGTATTTGCTGACGGTTCTGCCTGACTATAATGACTGTTTTCGGTCTTGCTGTGCAAATGGTTTATGTTTCACTGCCCATGGCACAGACTGGAGTGAGTAATTCTTTATGTCATTTGTTCCAGCCAATTTCTGAACCGCTTGCCTTCAAGGCCATGTTTCCACTTATTTGAAGATTAACTGCTGATTTCCCAGTAGGCATGCAATGAATTAGGACCAATACGGTGCTCGCTGGTATACATTTTGGAGCACATTATATACGAAGATACAGATTTGAAATGACTTTATCATTATTTTCAGCACTTTTAGGTTTATAAGTCTGTTCTGCTTTATGCGATGAATGCTGCCTGTCTGTCAAGAAGTAAAAATGAAACGTAAATAGTAATGCATATAGTGGGGTTCATAAGTCTTAGATCACTTGAAAAATCTTGAATTTGTTTTACCTAGAGGAGATTTAATCAAAGTTTTAGGATTTTGAAAAATTTAAAACAAAGGAAAGTTCAGGTTATGACATTGATTGTAAAAAATAAACGAATAATTCGGCACTATTTGTTGGTCACTAATTAAATAGTTTTGTGACATTAATCATGTGATTCTTTGTCAAGTCAAGTCAAGTCAAGTCACCTTTATTTATATAGCGCTTTTTACAATACAGATTGTATCAAAGCGCTTCACAGTGATAACATGAAAACAATATAACAAAAACAATATAACAATATAACAAAGTTTGTTTCTAAAAGAAATTGCGTCAACGTCCACCTTAAGTAAGGCAGATCAATAATATTATTGAATATTAAATGTTAAATGTCCCCAACTAAGCAAGCCAAAAGCCAAGGCAACAGTGGCAAGGAACCAAAACTCCATCAGGTGACAGAATGGAGAAAAAAACCTTGGGAGAAACCAGACTCAGTCGGGGGGCCAGTTCTCCTCTGGCCAACGAAGGAACAGTGCATGATTCGGGCAGCATTACAAGTCAGATTGGATCGGAACATTTAGAGTATTTTTTGGAAGTCCAAGTATGCACGCCGGTCTTAAGACGAGTTGTTGAGGATCAGTGGCGTCCACCATAGAGAGTCCATATCGCCCGTGTTAAGTCGTCACTTCATAGGCTTTGTGATTGGAGCATCTGAAGTCTCCGTGAGAGGCTGGATACAAACTGGAGCTGACGAACGCCATTTTCTCGGGACTCGCGTCCCGAGATAACAGCAGAAAAGCAAAGGGAAAATAATTAGCGTAGCTGCTGTTCATAATGATGATTTCCATAACACAGGCGTAAAAGACAAAACATGAATACAGTGACTCTTGCGTCCCAAAATCACCCCCCTCCGTCCCCCACTCAACTCAGCCCAGCTTACTGACCTCTACGTCCCTCCTGCTGCTGAGACCTAACCACAATCTCACAATCTCTCCGCAACCCAACCATACGCGCCAACCCGTTGACTAAGGCTGTCGAGCCCCACTGGTGCGTGAATAGGCAGTTTCAGTGGACAACGGTTCCGTATGGCATACTACCTACCGCAACACAATATCTGCCCAACCACCCGTCATTCACGCAATATACACAGGAACGTAATGACTGCAAATACTATGCAACCTATACAGATAACCTACAGTCTCTTCAAGTTTTATAGTATTAAATGCATTTGACCTGATTCAGCAGTATAATAAAAGGTAAGCATTATGTAAATGCTTGGCTAAAAAGATGCGTCTTTAATCTAGTTTTAAACTGGGACAGCGAGTCAGAGCCTCGAACAATATCAGGAAGGCTATTCCAGAGTTTAGGAGCTAAATGTGAGAACGCCCTCCCTCTTTGTAAAGACATTCAAATGCTTTTTAGATCATCTCAAATCTTTTTGGATAACATGATCAGGTTTGAGACATACTTGTGGTGTTTTTTTGGATTTTACTTTTAACATAAATGGTTATTCAATGCATGATTTATTTATTTACCCCAAAAAATCCAATTATTTTGTCATTTACTACCTAGTCCCCTTCAAATCTTTTTAACACATTAATTTATTTCTTCTTGTTATTCCTATAATATGGTTCATGATAAATTATGCAAAATATATGCATAATTTTCAGTAGAAGTCTCAGACTTTGAGAGCCCACTGTATACAGTCTGGGAGTATTAAGATGAGACAGGCGTCAAGAGGAAAGATACTGGAGATGGGAAGTAAAATAATAATTTGTTAGCATGTTCACTGAAAGAAGGAAAGATGTCAAGCTTTTGGTAAAGAGATAAGATGAAGAAGGGCGAGCTTATGTACAGTGAAGACAGATGGCCCCTTGATTCCAGAGTATGTATCCCAGCATTCTCTCAGTGTTGCAACACTCACCAACTGCCAAATACAAGTCAAAACTTGGCTTTGGCTAATCAATAAAACCAGTTGGCCATTAATTTTAAATGGGATTGGAACATAGCACATACTACCGTTTCATTTCTTTTCCCATCCTTTTTTTCTTGCACAATTCTTTCTCCTACTTCCATTAACTTTTAATTGATCCCCTGTTCCCGCTCTATTTCCAGTTCTAAAATAAATAAAAAGACAATATTTTTTAACTGCACCTATAGTGAAGACCCACATCCGCAGTTATTCCGAATGTGTCCCTGAGCTCAATGCTGCTCCGTCTTTACAGCTTTTGATGTATGGAGGCTTTAACTGCTAAAGCACAGTAATGGCCTTCATGAACTACTGTAATCAAAGTCAGTCATGTGTTACTGCAAAATAAAATAAAGATGTTAGTTGTTGAAGGAATCCCCTCACGTTCATCGCCCTCGGAAGGGATTGTTTAGCACTGTATCTATGGAAATGAGTAATGCCAGTGTGGCATGTTCTCAAGTCCCTGCGTGCTGCTGTGGTCGTGGGGGCGGGTGATGGAGGCTTGATAAAGAAGATCAGAAAAAGCTTTTGTTTTGGCATTTGATTGCTCTAGCTCAGACAGAAAAATGACTAGAGTAGCTGCTGAGATGGTACACGCATACACACACATGGAAATCACATTGACTGAAATATGCCGGTGCACTTATAATGCATTTATCCATTCCTGTTCATCATTTGTAATAGCTTTGTAATTCATTTTTCCTTAAAATATCATAAGCAGTCTCACTTAGCTCGCAGTACTTCTTCAAATCTTTGTCATAATATTATTATTTCCACACCAGGCTCCCTGATTGATGGTATTGTGATCTAACTTCCCTGCCATAGATTATCTCAGCACCATTTAAAATCAAATAAAATCCATTCTGCTTCCTTTGGCAAATAAAAGGGGGGAAGGGGGGAAAAATCACTTTTCTGTTTCTCTGTTACAAGTTTAAAGGAGAAGAATCCAAGTTGAGGTTCATTAAATTCTTCAGGTAAATTTTAGGCCAACTTCTAAATGCTTTCCACTCCCTAACTGTATTGCTTGAGTATGAAGCTGTTGTAAAATAAATGTATCCAAAAGTCATGTTGATTGGAGCAACTCGGCTTATAAATGACTAGTATAATCTGTCAACAGTCACTCAGTGTTTTGGGGATGCATGATATATCTATATAACGATCAACTATCTTGTATGGAAGAGAGATATTTAAATAATGCACTTCACTCAAAATTTGATATTGCAATTACAATGTTTACTATTTCCTACCAACCTTTTTTTAGTCTAAAGCAACTGAAAAAAAACATTTGAAAAGAGTAACACCAGAGGAACATGTTGAAGTACTTTGTGCAGAACTTGATGTGATAAAGCCATGGGTGATGGAATTTTTTAGTTAATGAGCTTTTCGTTAATCCTAACAGGGGTTTTGCACATGGTCATCCCCACTGATGTTTTTCAATAGCACATGTGCTGCAAGGAAGCGTTGGGTGAATTTATGCTACTCATAAAGACCTTCTAGACACTGAGCCTGTTTCATGTGCTTTCCATAAATGAGAAATATGCCCAGTGCCGATAGCATATGTTTGTATATCTGGAGTTTGAGCTCTGGGAACTTTTCTTCTTAATACAATTTCATTAGTCTCCCAATAGGGTTTCTTGTTTTTCATATTTATCATATTTGCAGACAGCTTTATTTAGATCAGAAGACTGAGTGGGACTCCCCTCTGACAAAATTCACAAAACGGCGCCTCCCCAAGTCCCCCTACTTAAGTTACTGGCCCAATGGGGAGTAACTCTCGTTTATTTTCCAAGGGCAGTATATTTAAGTGAATGAGGCAGAGCTGAGATTATTTTTTTAATAATAATAATAATTATTATTATTATTATTGTTATTATTAGTTAATACATAATTATTATTAATATATTTATTGCCAAATGTTTTTCATCTCAGATACCTCTATTAATTCATTCAAATATTATAAAAAGATGATAAACTTGCCAAGTAAAAAATAATAATGAATACATTCAAATGTATTTCAAATGTGTTTAAAATTTACTCAAAGGCATAACTGGAAAAGTTTTCTTAGTGATGACTTTGAATAAATTTAAATAGATTTAAAATTGATATTAATTCAAATATGTATCATCTTTTGTAATCTTATTTTAATTAACAGAGGTAACTAACATAAAAATATTTGCCAACAACAATACTAATTTTGTTCCCTTTGAATACACTTCAAATTGTATATATTAATATTTTTGTTTTTACTTTTTATTCATTCCTTTTTTGTTCCTATCCTTCACTCAGACTTTCTATTTCACACTTGAGAATTAGCCATTAGCTGTTGCTAATTTGCTGATTGAATGAACTGTTTGTTTCTTGTTTGCTTTCTGTTCTTAACAGTTGATCAGTCGAAAGGACAAGGCCACCTTTGAGAAGCTTGACTTTCTGACGTCAAAGGAAGAGAATTACAACCGTATGAGAGAGTACACCAGGTCCCTCAAAATGGCTCCCTGCATCCCCTACCTAGGTGAGTGTTAATAAAAGTCATGACAATATTCAGTCAGAAATGTCTTGAGAGGCTTTGTGGATTGTTTTTAAAAGTTTGCTTATTAATAAGGCCATAACTAAAACATAAGATGCTTCCTTTGAACAGAAACATAATTTGGGTCAGATAGAGGAATGGGTCATTTCTTTGCAATATTGACTCATTTAATGCTAGCAAACACATTCTACTTCAGTATAATGCTTGTTTCTTGACATGTAGATGATTGGTGATGGCAGGGTTCATTTTAAGTTGACTGTGAACACCTCATTATAATTTTTTTTTGGCCTTGTCTCATCTGCACATACTCCAGTGTCCAGCAGAGGGCATATCAATACACCTCTCCAGTTCAGGAATGATTGAGAAATGTGCCATATCCTGTAAAGAAAATTACATTCGTCAAACTATTTCATGGGGTTTTAGGATTTCTGCTAAAGCTCAAATATTCTGTATTTGCAATAGAAAAACCACTGCGCAATCCATGAACTTAAAAGCTCCTTGACTTCCTGACCATTTTTGTAAGATGGAAATTAATGAAATCATATTGAAATCCAGATTGGTACATTGGTAGCCGCTTTTTCTCTCTCATGAAAAGACATCTGTCCAAGACTCTCATGGATGTTGCAGAAGCCCAGTGAGGAATTATTTACACACGCATCAGTCTTCTCTAAAGGCACTGACAGCACTTGGAAATGGATACCTCCCTCAGGATTGTCCAACATGGTCCAGATCTTTCACTCAATTACACTCTTCCGTCTTATTTATCAGCAGTGATGTCTGGATGACTAATCCAGCTGTTAGCCGAGAGCCCGATCTGATCAGAAAGGGGTCGTGTGGCTTTATGTTTAGGTGGCATTTTGGATGTTTGGCGGTCTTGTTTTACGAGATGCACTTTTTAAGATGAGGTTTTTTGATTTTGAACTGCACAACATAGACCGTACGTCATTGCCACATGCTTGAGGCCCGTGCTCATGGTCACAGTTTTTCAGGTGTTCTTGTGTCATTGTGGTATGCGAATAACTAAAAGACTGTTCAGAAATAACTTCAGTCGGCTGTAACTCAAATTATCTCTTGGTCTGTAACTTGTGGGCTGGTTCATTTCTAGAGGTCTGAAATGCACAAACATACAGTCACTGTAATTTTTAAGAAGGTAAACATGTGGAAAGAGCTGACGCATGCCGTCCCAGCCGCACACATCTTTCTCATTAACCGAATTTCCTTTACATAATCCACACTGAGTGTCTGCTTCCACTTGGGCAGAGTGTCGGTAAACTACGTCCCACTCATCACGTGGCTCTCTCAGACGTCACAGAAAAAGAAACCACTGTACCTGGTGCCGGTACCTTGTGGTTTAGTTGCAGGGAACTCCGGTAACATATTCCCATTTCTGAGCAGCAAGCAGTTGAAACCGCAGGGACGGAAAGACTGTCTGACGTGGCTGAGGTTGTGCAGGCTGTCACTTCAAATCTTGTCAGTTTCCACTGCGCTTCTCCAGTGGCCCGTTCCATTTCCCATTGGGACAAAGGAAAAAGGAAATTAAAGGGTTTGGGATTTTTTCAAACACTCTTTTCATGCTTTTTGATGTATTTAATAGAACTTGTGTTATTGGTTTTAATAAAAAAAAAAGTTCATACCTTCAGTTTGTTCCAAAAAAAGTATTCTTAGAGCCATTGGTTATTTATTTCTTTATATAGATTAATACATTGGAATAATGAGTAATATTATATTTAAATATTACTTCTGTGAATTTTGGCTTTTGAGCTGATTGAAGCGAAACTGTTTTTTGACTGCGTAACATTTTTGTTTCCCTGTTAATTTTTTTTAACAAACAGTCCTAAAAGAAGTTACTAGAAATATGGGGATGTTATTCGAGTTCCACTCGAGCTCACATATCACTTGAGGTACAAATAAATATGACAAGTTGATTGCTACCTCAGGTATATCCTAGCCTGGCTCCGCCCCTTCTACGTACTTCCGCCCAATTTTCATTTTCCTTCAGTACTACGTCTGGGATTGTGTTGTATTCTTTGGTTTTCTCCGATCAACTTTTTACCGGGCAAATCAGCAAACAGAGGGAGTGGCTGAGAACGATGACGTTGATGTCGTGCGCTAGTTTGAGTCGTCATTCGTCACGACCAAATGTTAGCGATTGGTTATGGTAGATCCAGAGTGACTCTGGGCAGATCCAATAGTTTTAGACTTCAACAGAGTACCCGCCTACAAGGAAGTTAACGCTTGTCAATGGAGCGATGCCAGACTCTATGTACAAATGAAATGTACGAGAGTCTGGTGGGACCAGGCTAAGTATATCCTGCTTTGCACTTAGAATAGAAGTCTATTGGAAGAGTGCACTACATTAAGTTAAACAAAATAATGATACTGTTTAGAGAGTTTAGCCAAATAATGATACTGTTTAGAGAGTTTAGCCATAACTTCCCTAACAATGGAAATGTGGAGTTTAACAACCATTAGCCTTAATGAAGCTTGAGGACTGGAAATTCTGATCCAATTTGCTTTCCAATTATTTGTACAGCTTTTTATTACAGTTTCACATTTACCGCTCTTTAGTGACTTTTTTGCTGGGCGAAACCCAGTAATTTCTATACGAATCAATGCGCTTGTGAATTTTGAGTGAGGGTGAAAGTTTTCCCTATGCATATTTAGCAATGGGTTCAAGTAGGTCACACAAATTTACCATGTTGACTATTAGAAAGCTCCTTGATTTGAAAATGACTTGAAAGTAAGAGCTGTGCTTCATACATCACTACACAATTGACACTGGATAATGGACCTTTTTTCTGTAAAAGCAAAATTGTATGTCGATTCATTAAAATAAATGTACCGGTAATTGTATTACACTACTCTGATTTAGAATGGACAGAATTCTAGATCTAATGACCTGGAGATAAAATATATTTTTTTTTCATGTAGATCAAAATATTCTTATTTCTGGTTATAAACCCTAAAATACTATCACCTCTTTGACTTCCATTGTAAGTGTATTACCATAGACAGGGCAAGTTATTAAATTAAATTGTTATTCAACAGCAAAGTGTTATTCAACAGCAAGCCACAGATACATAATCTCAGTTGAGCTTGTTATATATATATACATGTACAACATTTATGATAACACTTTATTAGTTTAGGGTTCAATTCTCACTATTAACTAGTTGCTTATTAGCAAGCATATTACTAGAATGTTGGCTGTTTATTGGCACTTATAAAGTAATGCTTTATTCTGCATGACCATTTTCTACATCCCATAATCCTTCCCAATACCTAAACTTAACAACTACCTTACTAAATATGAATATGCAGTAATTGAGGCAGAAGTCTTATACCTAATAGAAAGAATTGGACCCTAAACTAAAGTGTGACCCCATTTATTATTTGGTCAAAGAGCTATTTTGTTGTTTGAGTCTGTAGCATTTTTGAATGAATTGTTTGTGACTTTTCCCTTTACTTTGGCACATAAACTTTCTCAGTAGAACTGCAGCTGTAGAAGATTGATTTTTAATCCATTCACGGACAAAGCACGTGGCTGTACATCTTTTATTGCAACGGTATGACAATACCAGGGGAAATGTTACACTTACAGTATATTACAAATTACACATTATTTTCAACAATATTACGTGTATATGTACATAAATGTGTTGGGTCTTCATTTGACACCAGCAGCTAATTTACACAGTAAATACAGTTTAGATTGAGAAACTGATGACTGTTTTAAGATGTTTAATTGTGCATTATTTTACACTGCAACCTTTATATGAATTTTAAAAATGATATCCCTGAAATAAATTATGAGTCATTCATCTCATCAGGAAACATATATTCTCTTAGCTCTGAATAAACTAGGGATGCGTAAGCTATTTATCACTGGATTGGATGTCCTGTGTCTTATTTGTAACAACGAATGAGTACTAATCAGTTATTTTACATATTTAACAAAAGCAATCTAACAGACAACAGATTCACAATTGCACTAAATATTTAAAGATGAACAGGTTTCATTTGATTTGATTGAACTAGAGTGGAAACGCACATCATTTTCATTATATATATATTTTTAGATGACCTCCTGGTGACTGATTGAAAACAGGCCAAGTCATCAGACACTTCATTTTCTGTGATAATGGATGTAAATAGCACTTAATAGAGATTCCTTTTGTAGTCTCTGATAAATTGGTGTTCCTCCCAGTTACGTCATCCAAGACCCTGTTTGTTCTTTTGCTATCATATCTATGTAGGAAGCAAAACAATTTAAAAACCACAGTCTAAACGAATTGCACTTTATAGGGTGGATGGCGACCATGGGGGAACAATTGTCAGTTCATTCCCTGTTTTTATGTGCTTCTCAGTGGAAGGTGTTCGGGTTGGGTCGTATCATCATCACGACCTTCTTGAGGGAATAGGCGCCTCCTCTGAATTCAGCCCAGTACACGCCGTCCTGATAGCGGCTGCGGTAGTGCCCTCCCCTGTACCACACGCCGTTCAGATTTGAGTGGGCACAGGCATTATACCACCAGCCTCCTTTTTGATAGTGTGCACAGTTGCCTGAGATAAAACATTTTATATATTAATTTATATCAATTATAGAAAAATTAGGACAATCTGTAATTGATTGACTGATACCTGTATATACATCATGATCCCTGTCCAGAGTGGTGAACTGCTTCCCGTTGTGCCAAGTTAGGGAGTCACCGGCATTGCCATGATAACGGCCCACCTTGAGCCTGTAGAAGTCCGTCTCAGGCTCAAGGCGGAAACTTGCGTACTCTGCAAACGTCTTGCGTCCAGACCAGTCCTCCAAGGTGACCAGCAGCTTGTAGTTCCCCTGGTTGGTTATCCAGTATATGTTCTCCAGACCCAGCCAGTACTCTCCATCAATGTTTCCAAATCCTTGCTGTAATAAAACAGAGGAGCGCCTGCCATTGAGTATTAGATGGACCACGTAAAAAGTTTTTTTAGTGTACATTACTTAGACTGTATTATTTTGTCATCTCCTTAAGGCTGAAAAATTGCCACTTGCTGTAAGGTTTGTTCTTCTCTCTCTTGTTTTTTTTCTTGTTTTACTGGTAGGGCTTTTATTTGCCAGCACATTCTTTGCATCATTAGACATCTTTCTGAGCCCAAGCACTTGTAATTCTCTCTTTACTTGTGTTTAATACTGTATCTACAGGGCTTTGAAGATGACTGGCTTTTTTCTCTGCACTTTGCTTGTTTTCGCTATGGAATAAAACAAATTAGAAGATAATTGTGACTTTTTCGCTCACAATTGCGAGTTATAAAGTCAGAATTGGGGGATATAAACTCACAATTTCAAGTTATAAAGTCATAATTGCGGGATATAAACTTGAAATTCAGAGAAAAAAGTCTTTATAACATGTATAAAAAGTATTTATAATTGTGAGAAAAAAAGTGAATAAAAAATGTAAATATCCCACAAAATATCCCAATGGTGGAAATAAGCTTCCATACAGATGGAACACAATAAAAAAAAAAACATTTCTTTAAAAACACTTCTTTAATTCTATTATTCTAGAGAATGTTTATAAAAACGGCTTTGAAAACTGAATAAGTAAAGAACATTATTGAATGATTCATTTGTATATTACATATGCCATACACAAAGCATATAGATCATTTTAATGTTCGGAGAATAATTGCGCAAGTTTTCATTTGCATTGATGCATTTCAGTGCAGTGTGGTAGTTTCTGCTTGGCATATGTACCTCATTAAACCTCTTTAAGTGCAAGGGTCTGTATGTTCACAGCCATCCGGGTCAGCTTATGTGAAGCAGCTAAAAGTTATAGACCATGTGATGTTAAGTGACAAAGGTAAAATGTAAGCAAATTGTTACCACAGGAACATAAATTGACCTGTTTGTTGAACTTGCCACCATTGGCAAAGGAAGACATATATCACCTCTATCTATTACAGAGATATTGTATGTTTAATTCTTATTTCCCTATTTTTTCCTTTAGATTACCTTTGTTTGCTTTCATCTAATGCTCGTTCAAATGTAATCTTTAAAAACTCTAACAATTTAATAACACTGTTAATTGTACTCTAGCATTCAAAAGCTTGGGGTCAGCAAATTTTGATTTTTAGTTTTTTGAGGGAGAGAAATTAATACTTTTTAATTCGCAAAGATGCATTAAATTGTCATATGTATAGTGTAAAAAAGATTTAGATTTCAAATAAATGCTGTTCTTTTGAACCTTCTAATCATCAAAGAATCCTGAAAAAACAAGTATCATGGTTTTCACAAAACTAATAAACCCTAATAAACTGTTTTGAGCACAACATTGATAATACCAATAGCACCAAATAATAGCACCAAATCAGCATATTAGAATGATAATAGAAAGCAGTAATTTTAAATAGTAATAATATTTACTAATATACTTTAACATTGTTTTTTTATCAAATAAATGCAGCCTTGGTGAGCATAAAGGCCAATTTCATACTGTTTCATACAGTTTTCATATTTATACTGTTATTTTAATATCAGCTGTTTATCACTTATCGGTCATAACATTTAGTTAATTACTGGCTCACCTTATATGTTTCCCAGTTTCTGAAGAAGTTGACGGAGCCATCCATTCTTCTCTGGATGACCGTCCAGCCACCAGGGTCATGTCTTTGATCACACCACACCTGCATCAGCTTGTTGGTGTTCTCCGGCTTCACTAGGTGCATGCCACTGTTAGTGTGGCCGTCCTCCAGAGCCTCCAGACAATCCTTCCAGGGACCTAAGAGGAGGGGAAAATCATTCAGTATTTACCCCACTCAGTCACTCCCAGATTATTTAAACAAGATGTATCCCCACATACTCAATTCCCAGAGAAGTTCTGTCTTTTTATAGGAAGTCTCCTGTCTGTTTCTGTCAAATCTCATACTGGGAATGTGACACTGTGACAGACTGAGATATTATTTTGCTTGAAGGGAAATTCAGGCGCAAAGCTGAAACAATTGCGTAATCCAAGAACGGCAATCTCAGGATCTCCCTGAACACAGTTCTCAGTTGTATCTACTCCCGCTAGGTCTCTTGTTCATCCGTGGCACAGCTGGAAAAGCTCTTAACGTAAGAAGAGGATTGACCTTGGCTGCCATTCTGGCCTGGGAAGTTGCCTCTGCTATTCCAGCCAAACATAATGCTGCCACGAGCGCCAGAGAAAGGCCCATTTTGTTAAATAATGCAATAGCAAGTAGATTAGCGAGCACTTCCAAAGTTCCCTGGGCATAGAGTAGTGTTTTTATAGGGATGCGTCAAAAATGGCTCCAATTTCCAAAGTTTTCCAATGAAAAGCAGAGTAAGAGACCATCCATAAAGAAGTTGTCTTCAAAATCAAATTTTCTCTGATCTTCAGTTTTAAATGGTAAAAACTAGACGGGGTGATTAATACCCTGCTAATGGGGAATATTAGGGCTGTCAAAATAACGTAAAAAAAAATAACGCAGATTAATCCATTCCGTATTGACCTTTGACACGGAGCCGTTCTAGCCACCATTCGACTGTAAAATAAAGGAGGGAGACGAGAACGCGCTGCCTGGATCATTGATTGGAACATTTACTTCAAAAAAACGGCTTGATGTAAGTATTGATAAAAATAAAGTCGTCTGCAATGTCTGCCGCAAGGAATTTGCATATCAAGTCAAGTCAAGTCATCTTCATTTATATAGCGCTTTTAACAATGGATTGTTTCAAAGCAGCTTTACAGAGATAAACATATAATTTAAGGTAACAGATTGTTTTGGCGTTATAGCGGTTCTTGAATAATGTTACTTCCAGCTAAAGTTAACTTTGATTGATTCACCTCCGTCGAAGTGATCAGACTTTAAACGCGAGCCTGTGATTAACGCTGACGGCGTTCACATGCTCATTCAGAATTCTATAGTTATGTGCTTTTTAAAATATGTGCGCAGGTTTGTAATTCAAACAAACTACTTTTCTTGCCTATAAATTTTGATACAGAATTTTGTTTTATTTTATCACTTCGGGGTACGCGAGCCGGAATTCACAACGCTTTATCTGTAGAGTGGGAAAGGGATCCTCCATAGGGAGAGGATAGTGGATACTTCAGCACTGCATTGTCATCGGGTCCAGGGAAAGCTCCCTCGTCAGATCTGGACACGGCCTGGATCCGGCAGGCTGCGGGAAAACCTCGGGATAAACAAAGACACTAATATTAGCGTAGATGCCATTCTTCTTATGATGTACCGAGTACATCAAGATTTAAGGGAAGTGTTCCCAGTTCCGGCTGACCTAATCTATGCAGCCTAACATTGAATTTATAGAAGTCTATAATGTATTATGTGTATGCTAGGTCAAAGAGATGTGTTTTTAGTCTAGCTTTGAACTGACAGAGTGTGTCTGCTTCCCGGACAATGGTAGGAAGACTGTTCCAAAGTTTTGGTGCTAAATAGGAAAAGGATCTACCGCCTGCAGTCGATTTAGATATTCTAGGTATTATCAACTGGCCGGAATTTTGAGATCGCAATAGACGTGAAGGACTATAATGCGTTAAGAGCTCGCTCAAGTACTGTGGAGCTAAACCATTTAGTGCTTTGTAGGTAATCAACAATATTTTAAAATTTATACGCTGTTTAATAGGGAGCCAATGCAGTGTTGACAGAACCGGGCTAATATGGTCATATTTCCTGGTTCTGGTAAGAACTCGAGCTGCGGCGTTTTGAACTAGCTGTAGTTTGTTTATTAAGCGTGCAGGGCAACCACCCAGTAGAGCATTACAATAATCTTAGCCTCGTGAGACCATCCTGATCTCGCGAGCTTTCAAGGTTTCACTCGCAGATCAGTCTGGATACTTTCCGTTAAAGAAAATTTGGGAGCAGTTCACCAAACGAACGTCCAATCAGCGTTGGCTTTGAGGCGGGTTGAGGTGTGACGCAACGAGAAGCGCGTCAGTTCAGTCTAAAGAACATGTCGGCTTCAGCGGATGAAACTAGCATCAGCGTGGCTATCGAGCAAGTTTTATCGGAATTACAGAGTATTTCTTCACTGAAAGAAGAGCAAAACACTGCTCTGGAGGCTTTTCTCAGAGGAAAAGATACGCTCTGTTAGTACGTCATATGCTTCGTTGATCTGATTGGTTGATTTGGCCCGTCTATCACCAACATAGGCCAATCAGCTAACCAGTATTTTCGCCCCTTACCAAAACTACTTCAACGGAAGGTTTCCAGATGGATATGCGGAGCAAATCCATCTGGCGGAGTCAGGTTACAATAATCTAGCCTTGAGGTCATGAACGCATGGACTAATTGTTCCGCATTTCCCAATGAGAGCATATGGCGTATTTTAGATATATTTTTAAGATGGAAAAATGCAGTTTTACAGATACTACACATCGTGGCTTTCAAAAGAAAGGTTGGTATCAAAGAGCACACCCAGGTTCCTAACCGACGACGAAGACTTGACAGAGCAGCCATTAAGTGTTAGACAGTATTCTGGGTTATTACGTGTGGAAGTTTTTTGTCCAATAATTAGAATCTCTGTCTTTTCAGAATTTAGTAGTAGGAAATTACTAGTCATCCAATTTTTTATATCAGCTATGCATTCCGTTAATTTTGTGAATTGGTAAGTTTCGTTGGGTTTTGAAGAAATATACAGCTGAGTATATCACTGGAGTTCGTCAACTCTAAAGTACCACATCAATGCAAAGCATCCAGGAGTTAATGTTAATCCGGAGGAACGACCTAGCACGTCCCGTGATACCAACTCTAGCGGTCAATGTCATCTTCAAACTTAAACCACACTCGAGCAAACACTGAAGTGCAAACTTAGCAAATATGTGTGCGTGAGTGAGTAAGTGAGTGTGTGTGTCTGAGAGAAAGCGTGTGTGAGACGAGTGAGTAAGTGTGTGTGTGTGTGGTAACAGTGACTGGCTGAAGGAGAAGTAGAAGTGAGGCAGATCGCAGATGTGTGTGACTACAAATTTAAAATTGTTGCTTTGTTGATTTTTGTGTGTGAAATGTGGTAAAAGGGGCTGATTTTTTTTATTGAAGGTTTATGATCAATTACACAAAATAGCCCTGGAATTGATATTGCACTATGTTAAACTTTAGTTCTCTTGCCTGAGTTTTTCATGGCACATACAAGAGAAAAAGTGTTGACATTGTGTTCATTTATTCATTGTGTCCCCTAGGTTATAACTGTGGCCTGAGATGCCTTGTACAGTGAAAAAAATATATTTTTTATTTATTTCCTGAGCATATTATTATTAGGTCATATTGTTGATTGTTATGGCCATTATTTGAACAGTGAAAATAATAATAAAAGAGTTTTTGAACTTTAAATGTCACTAATGCTGATTATTCATTGATTCGTTTGAATTGAAATATGTAAAATACTTTCACTGCAAAAATGATGTATGCGATTAATTTAGATTAATTAATCACAGAGTATGTAATTAATTAGATTAAAATTTGTAATCAATTGACAGCCCTAATATACACTCACCTAAAGGATTATTAGGAACACCATACTAATGCTGTGTTTGACCCCCTTTCGCCTTCAGAACTGCCTTAATTCTACGTGGCATTGATTCAACAAGGTGCTGAAAGCATTCTTTAGAAATGTTGGCCCATATTGATAGGATAGCATCTTGCAGTTGATGGATATTTGTGGGATGCACATCCAGGGATCATTGATTGGAAGCTCCCGTTCCACCACATCCCAAAGATGCTCTATTGGGTTGAGATATGGTGACTGTGGGGGCCATTTTAGTACAGTGAACTCATTGTCATGTTCAAGAAACCAATTTGAAATGATTCGAGCTTTGTGACATGGTGCATTATCCTGCTGGAAGTAGCCATCAGAGGATGGGTACATGGTGGCCATAAAGGGATGGACATGGTCAGAAACAATGCTCAGGTAGGCCGTGCCCAATTGGCACTTAGGGGCCTAAATGTGCCAAGAAAACACCCCCCACACCATTACACCACCACCAGCAGCCTGCACAGTGGTAACAAGGCATGATGGATCCATGTTCTCATTCTGTTTACGCCAAATTCTGACTCTACCATCTGAATGTCTCAACAGAAATCGAGACTCATCAGACCAGGCAACATTTTTCCAGTCTTCAACTGTCCAATTTTGGTGAGCTCTTGCAAATTGTAGCCTCTTTTTCTTATTTGTAGTGGAGATGAGTGGTACCCGGTGGGGTCTTCTGCTGTTGTAGCCCATCCGCCTCAAGGTTGTGCGTGTTGTGGCTTCACAAATGCTTTGCTGCATACCTCGGTTGTAACGAGTGGTTATTTCAGTCAAAGTTGCTCTTCTATCAGCTTGAATCAGTCGGCCCATTCTCCTCTGACCTCTAGCATCAACAAGACATTTTCGCCCACAGGACTGCCGCATACTGGATGTTTTCCCCTTTTCACACCATTCTTTGTAAACCCTAGAAATGGTTCTGCGTGAAAATCCCAGTAACTGAGCAGATTGTGAAATACTCAGACCGGCCCGTCTGGCACCAACAACCATGCCACGCTCAAAATTGCTTAAATCACCTTTCTTTCCCATTCTGACATTCAGTTTGGAGTTCAGGAGATTGTCTTGACCAGGACCACACCCCTAAATGCATTGAAGCAACTGCCATGTGATTGGTTGATTAGATAATTGCATTAATGATAAATTGAACAGGTGTTCCTAATAATCCTTTAGGTGAGTGTATATATATATTTAAATGTATAATATCTTGAACCAGACTATGCTGGTTTGCTGGTTTCCCAGCCTGGTCAAGCTGGTCTGCTGGCTGGTTTTAGAGGGGTTTTGGGAACTAAACCAACTTGGCCGGGCTGAGACCAGCTTAATTGCTTTATACCAGCTTAAAGCAACTAACAACAGCAAAGGGGGAAATTTCCATTCTGGTCTAGGCTGGGTTATGCTGGTTTGGTTGTGGTCTATCTAATGGAGCAGCACAAATATGCTATTCACTAGCAAAACCTAGCTGGTGAAACCAATTGTGGTTGTTAATTATGGTCTTTTCTGTAGGGAAAGTAGTCAAACCTACAGTAAACACAACCTGAGACTTAAACTTATAGTTTTGCTCTCAAATCACATGATCTCATATGTTCCATTATTATTTGTGTATTTTAACTTGTGTGTTAGGTTTGATCTTACATCTCCGTCTTAAAGCGCTGCCGAGGCCTTGTGGTTTACTTACAGTAGTCTGGAACATTTTAGTGTTTACTCTCATCCTGTAGCTTATAAAAAGCAGGCCTCATGCCCAACGGCTGTCCCTCATTCACAGCCACTCCAACCCCTTCATCACTCTGGTCGGTATGTTTAAAAATTAGCTGGATGTGTCTTGTACCGAAACATAGGGTGTTGCTCCAGTCGTTTTTTTCTTGCATTTCACTTGTAGTGTTATTTAAAATGGTTCATTTTAGTACTTATAATTTACGCACTTACAATTGAGATATTTCTGGTTGTATTTATGAGAACAGACCTCAGACCGCTGGATTCATATCCTCAAGTGCACATTCCACTGAGCCGGATTTTGTCTGTTTTTCTGAAATCTCTCTGGCTGGCTGATTTTCACAGCATGCCAGAGTAAGAGCCATCACACTACCTGACAAATTTAAGATAACAACACAGACGGGGCTCATTAGCCCCTTACCGTGAACAAAACTGAATCCATTCCAGCATTCCCAATCTCTGGAGGAGCATGTATTAAACCACTTGCTTTTTTATTTGGGTCAGTCGATTTTTTGGAATCTCAAGAGACATGCCTCACATAGACAAATTGAATAGACATGCATTGGAGTGCAAAGGTCTGAGAACGCATTGTTCCAGCCTAAAAAGTTCTATTGTAAATGAAAAAGAAATATTTATGATTCTTCATTTTTTTTTGTTGGTCACAGAATTGACCATGTGATCCCTTTGAACCGATGGTCCAGTGGGAATATATTTTATTTATACCGTTCAATATTACATTATTGTTATTAATAACATTAACAGACTTGGTTTATTCATCCCAAACTAATTCTGGATTAGAGTTTAAGTTTTAAAATTGTGTTTTGTGTTTGGGGCTGAATTTTGATTTTTACCTTTATAAAAGCACCTCACTCCACATACTTTGCCTCATTATCTTGAAGCCACCAATTTCTTGCTCTCCCTTGGAGAAGTCTGCTTGTCAGCAAATTACAAACTTTCCCTTTAAGCCCCCTTCTGTTTAATTGGTCGTAGAACATTTTACACCATGGAAACTTGCCACTTAATGCACAATTAGTGCCAAGAACAAGTATTTGAAGAAAATAAAGATCACGACAAGAACAGAACAGCTAAAAGCAGGTTCAGAAGTACATATTTTGAAGCATTTGTTTCTAATTAGAACAACGATTTTAGTGAGTAGGCGAGTCACTTCTTAACTGTTTCTGTTTTACAGTGACAATATTTTGGTGTACTTGTTCAGGGGGCTTTACAGAAGTTTAGACCAAGGCAGCTGTTATATCTGGCAGACAAAGGGACACAGTTTAGATTAGTTGTGTATGAGGGAGAGATGGAAAAAGACAGTGCTGTGAAAGAACAGACTCACACATTGTAAGCAAAAAGTGTCTAATGGCAGAGAAGGCAGCATGAAAAGAAAATCTGCTTTTCACTACAAATACTCTAGCTAACATTCACAGAGATGAATGAGGTGATGAACTCGGGATGAACACAAATCCATCAAGTCAAGTGAACTTTAGATGAGATATGGTAGGAAGAAGGGAGGAAGTGGAAACGGAGAGGCCTTACAGATTTTTAGTGGTGTGGGTCTTGTTAAAACAACTTGGCAAATCCATCAGCAGGTCATTTCTCTCCAGCAGGAAGACCCAGACCTGATAGAGCGCTGAGCTTTGTGTGGGATGTCTGGGTCACCCATGTCTGGTAGCACTGGAATAAATGACTTCACTCCAACAGAGTGCTGCTTCCCTCCTTGCCCTGCTCTTTCTCCTATCCTCTTATTTCTTTTCTCATCACTGCAACTTAATTGTCTTTACGACAGCATTTAGACTGTCAACCAATTCTATTTTTGTCAGATTGAGTCTTGTTGCGTGTTTGTAAACAGCAAATATTGCTTAGCAGATTGGATTTTTGACTTCCAATTTATATGTGGTTCTAAATCTTAAGGTGCGGTCACATAAAATGTTCTATTGTCAGAAGTGTAGCCATGAACCACAGATCACACAGACGTCACATTTATACCAAGCAGCTTTCTTTTCAGCTTTCCAACTTGATCCTGTTGTGAAATCTGTGTGGGGAAATATTTCACCCTCATGCGAAAAAAATAATAAAGTCCTTAGAAAAAAATCACTTAGAATTGAAATGCCTGGATTTTGCTCTTTAAAATTCCCTGAATGATGTTAAATGTGACCACACCATTACACCAAAATTATGCCAAAAGTTGAGTATCCTCGTAAGCACAGTCTTAAAATGAGTTAAATGATGTCTTATAGAGTGTAAAGAGTTGTGAGATAATAGGATGTGTCAGATCCGCGTCATGTGCGTCAGATCTTAAAGTGACAGCAGCCTAATAAACCTGCTGCTGTCTGTCATTAATGTTAATCAAAGAACAAAAGACAAATAGAAAATCACTCACTGCTCTTAAATGAATAACTTTTGTAGCTTTAATAAAAAATTTATCTATTTAATTTATAAATCATGCAGTGAAGTATGAAGTGTTGGATAAATTGATTCTATATCTCTAACTACAAGTGAATATAACTATATTTCTGGATATTTCCTACCTTTTAGATAAAATATTTCAAATATACTGTCTTTATGTTGTTTTAATTAGGAGATTAATTGTGAAATTACTGCAATATAAAAAAATACATGAAAAATCGCAATTATAGAAAAATATGTGATTAATTCGTTTTTTAATTTTTTTTAATCGGTTGACAGGACTACTTTTTTCTGAATCTCTTTTTTTAAATACCCTTTCATATATAGTATCTATGTAAGTCTAAGCAAAGTAAAAGCTGCAAGATGTCTCAAGCAATTTTCAAACACAGTTTTTTGAAAGAAATGAACATAAATCAGAGGGTGAAATTGCCATACGCCTCATACTGTGCACACATATATAGTGTAAATGCAGACTCATCCTTATGCCATTTCCCAACTCAGCCACTGTAGACTTTTTCTGACCGTCTTTCCTTGACTTCTGTCCAGAATCGTTCTTTCTATTTCCTTCCAGAGCTCTTTTTCGTACTGTAGTCTCATTGTGAAAGCTTGACTCTCATTGAGGAGAGTTTGTGTAACCTTTTGCTATTAATGCAGGCAGACCTAGCCAGGAAATTGCTCATGTCACCAGATGGAGTGGAAATACAGCCACTGAAAGCTGCCTTTTTCTTTTTCGCTGTCTTGACTAGTTTTACATTTTAAATAGACACGATATATATGCTGCTGTTGGGGTTAATAAACAAAACATTATATCATGATATTATTATGTGCATTGCAATCAATGAAACAAAAGTATACATTAAACTGAAGTAGGTTTTTTTTTTTTTTTAAATAAACTTTTTTTAACTTTTCTACATTATTTCACTCAAAAGAAATTGGGCTTTTCTCTTTTTAGAGCATTAAAAGCATGTATAAAAGAAATTGCAATCAGTCTGAAATTAGATATATGGCATTCAATTGATCTTGACTTTTTTTTGTCCTCCTACAACAATGTGTGTGACTCAACACAAAATATTTTGTTGATGTTCATCATCTGACCAGATTTACTAACTGGATGTTGGCATTTCAAAGCTGAGACAACAACAGATGGTTTATTGTCACATCTCTGTGTGGGAGTCGCTATGTAGAGAGAATTTGAGATGAATGAACAGTGCTGAATAATGTATGAACAGTGCTGAATAGGCAGTGCTGAATAATGATAGAAGACTGAATTTATTTGGTGAAAAATACCATAAAAATTGAAATATTGTGAAATATCATTATAATTTAAAATAACTCTTTTCTCTTTGAATATATTTTAAAATATTTTATTCATTTAATGGCAAAGTTGAATTTTTAGCATCATTACTCCAGTCTTCAGTCTCACGGGATCCTTCAGAAATCATTCTAATATGCTGAATTGATGCTGAAGGAACATGTATATTTATTATCAATGTTGAAAACATTTTTCCAGGCTTTTTTTGATTATTAGACAGTTCAAAGGGACATCATTTATTTGAAATAGAAATATTTTGAAGTACTAAACGTATCTTTACTGTCACTTTCTTGATCAATTGAATGCATCTTTGCTGAATACTTACTGGCCACAAACTTTTTCAATGGTAAAGTTGAATGGTGAATGTGTTCTGTTGGAAAGTTTTGTAAAACCTATAATCTTATTTCCTCAAAATGCAAGTATTTCGTTTCATTTCAGTTTTTCCCTTCAAATAGTACATGCACCACTGAAGGAATGAAGCTGCGACTCACCTGAGGGTTTGTTTGTGGTGGACGGGCTGTGAGTTCCTCCTGGCATGGTGGGAAGAGGGGCGGGTGGCACTTTGAGGTTCTGATCGCTCTGGATCTCGTTGGTGATCTGGTTGTTGCGGTTAAACGTAGGCTTATTGAGGGGTGGTGAGGGTCTGGGTTGAGGTTGTGGTTGGGGCTGAGGCTGGACTGGTACCCTAGGGACCACAACCGGTGGTCCCCTCTGACACTGTGCCTCGAGAAGGGCAATGAGTGCCGACTGGTTATTGGCCAGTGAGGCGAGGTGCTGATACTTATGCTCCAGATCTTTATAGCGGTTTGTAAGCTGCAGCATCTCGGAGGTCTGGTTGAGAATCTTGTTCTCCAGTTGTGACAACTCCAGCGCGTTGTCCCTCTTACGGATGATCTCATGCAGCAGCTGCATGTATAACTGTGTCACTCTGGAATTCATGTTACGGGACTCCTTGCGCAGAAGCTTCACCTCGTTGACGATGCCGCCGTCGACTTCTACAAGCTGCTGCAGAGTTTCGATTTGTCTCTTCTGCTTGTGCAGCTCAGAGTTGAGAAGTTCCAGCTCCTGCTTATTGACACGGTTCTCCAGCATGGCCTCAGGCTCCTTGGAGTTCACACAGATGGCTCCCGTAACCTTCTGCTGGGGTACGATGAAGGTGTAGGAGCACTTGTCCTGCGGAGGAGGCTCGGGGGCCCGCCGTGTGCGAGAGGTCGATAGGAATTCAACCTCTGGACCTTCATCACTGCTGTCAAACTCCTGAGTGCTGCAATCCGTTTCAGGAAACTGTCTACTCGCCAGGAGCAACACCAGCCATACTAGCACAGGAACATCCATGGCCACACACACCTGTGAAATACATCAGTGGAGAAGGAAGAATGACGTTCATTTTTGAATTGATTAAAAATAATATTTTTTTAGAACCTTAAGTTGTTTGCCATGATCTTTTTTTATTGATTCTTGGAAAAAAATGTTAACACAACTGTTATTAATTATTATTTATTTATTATAAACCAATATGCAGAAACATGCAGTTAAACAGAAAAACAGAAAATTGTGTCATAGAAAGAACCCCTGCTGACCCCCATGACTTTGTGTCAAGGGCAGTTAGGTCTCTTAAAATCAGATCTTTTGACCTTTTTATGACAAGATTAGTTCAGGTTGTAATATCACGTGGTGCAACATACTATTTATAAATTTAATAGGTCATGATACACTCACCTAAAGGATTATTAGGAACACCTGTTCAATTTCTCATTAATGCAATTATCTAATCAACCAATCACATGGCAGTTGCTTCAATGCATTTAGGGGTGTGGTCCTGGTCAAGACAATCTCCTGAACTCCAAACTGAATGTCAGAATGGGAAAGAAAGGTGATTTAAGCAATTTTGAGCGTGGCATGGTTGTTGGTGCCAGACGGGCCGGTCTGAGTATTTCACAATCTGCTCAGTTACTGGGATTTTCACGCACAACCATTTCTAGGGTTTACAAAGAATGGTGTGAAAAGGGAAAAACATCCAGTATGCGGCAGTCCTGTGGGCGAAAAAGCCTTGTTGATGCTAGAGGTCAGAGGAGAATGGGCCGACTGATTCAAGCTGATAGAAGAGCAACTTTGACTGAAATAACCACTCGTTACAACCGAGGTATGCAGCAAAGCATTTGTGAAGCCACAACACGCACAACCTTGAGGCGGATTGGCTACAACAGCAGAAGACCCCACCGGGTACCACTCATCTCCACTACAAATAGGAAAAATGAGGCTACAATTTGCAAGAGCTCACCACAATTGGACAGTTGAAGACTGGAAAAATGTTGCCTGGTCTGATGAGTCTCGATTTCTGTTGAGACATTCAGATGGTAGAGTCATAATTTGGCGTAAACAGAATGAGAACATGGATCCATCATGCCTTGTTACCACTGTGCAGGCTGCTGGTGGTGGTTTAATGGTGTGGGGGATGTTTTCTTGGCACACTTTAGGCCCCTCAGTGCCAATTGGGCATCGTTTAAATACCACGGCCTACCTGAGCATTGTTTCTGACCATGTCCATCCCTTTATGGCCACCATGTACCCATCCTCTGATGGCTACTTCCAGCAGGATAATGCACCATGTCACAAAGCTTGAATCATTTCAAATTGGTTTCTTGAACATGACAATGAGTTCACTGTACTAAAATGGCCCCCACAGTCACCAGATCTCAACCCAATAGAGCATCTTTGGGATGTGGTGGAACGGGAGCTTCGTGCCCTGGATGTGCATCCCACAAATCTCCATCAACTGCAAGATGCTATCCTATCAATATGGGCCAACATTTCTAAAGAATGCTTTCAGCACCTTGTTGAATCAATGCCATGTAGAATTAAGGCAGTTCTAAAGGCGAAAGGGGGTCAAACACAGTATTAGTATGGTGTTCCTAATAATCCTTTAGGTGAGTGTATATGGAATAACAAAATATATTTTACCTTTACTTTTACCATTGTTTAGCAAATTTCCGTGAGCGAAATCAAGTCATTTCAAAAGGAATCCACACGATCAGGAATTTCACGTACGGATGAAAGATTTTTCAATGCATGTTTTGCAACAATTTTAATTTGGTGTTGTGGATTTGCCACTTTGACCAACATTAAGCTGCTTGGTTAGACCTTAGTGTGAGTTGTGCTCCGTACATCACTACACTATTGACATTTTTTAGTGGACATTCTTAGTTTTCATTGACCCTCAGGTCAAGCTTTCACATCACAACAATTAAAGTTGCTTTTGTGCGTATAATTCCTTAAGTCATTGCCGGAACCATTGGAACAGTAATCCTTTAAATCTTTACTTTAATACCACAACCCTCAGGGTATAAGGATATATTTGTTTCCATCCTAGAGGCGTATGGGAGGTATGAGGCTAATTTCCTCCTCTATCTGTCTGGACAGGCCTAGCTTAACCGAGCTAACACAACCCCAACTGATCTAGACAGAAGATCTGACACCTCACTCAACCTCAGTCATGCCAGTGAGCTCACTACAGAGTCGGTGGGCTGCCCCTGTTTCTAACACAGTCATGGAAGCTCTTAAACTTTGGGGACAGATCAGGTTTCCCTGGGAGAAATGGTCTGGCAAGCCACCATGTTTCTCCAGCACTGATGGAGAAGCAGACAGGAGTGTGGCTGACCCTGAGTAGGGAAATAATGAGGCTCTGCAGCCCCATATTCTGTAAGTTCTTGGCTTCGCTGGAGCTACTGGACTTGAATCTCACTCAAACACACTCTTTGCATCCTCTCTCTCTCATATGAAGTGCTGGCAAGCTTGATTGATTCTAGTGAATCAGTTCGTCCTAAACGTTTCTCTCTCATGTTGCATTGGAATGTCGGATGATTCATCGTTGCAAATCAATTTATTCAAGTTCATGTAAATGAAGAGATTCCAAAAAAAAAGTGTTATATTAATTCGTTTTTTAATTTTTTTTGACACTTTTTTTTTTGTTCAATATTGTATCTTAAACAAGTAAAACCCCTATTTTATGTTCTAAAAATACAGCTCATCACAGTTCTTTTGCAAGAACTGAATCCAACATCAGCATTAATTCGCTTTTGGTGCAATGGCTTGTTAGCAGTGTTTATTTTAGTATTATTTAATAAGAGTATTTTATATTATTATTATTATTATTATTATTATTATAGTATTTATTAATATTTTGAATTAGCTTTTATTTTTGCGTTTTTAGTTTATTTTAATTTTAGCTTTAGTTTTAGTGATTTTATGTGCTTTTGCGTTTTTGTTTTTCCTTTAAATATTTCTTTTTAGCTTTATTCCAGGTTTAGTTTTAGTAATTTTGACATTAAAACTCATTTTAATTCAGTTAGCTGAATTTCAGATTTATTTTAATTAATAAAAACAACTCCTAATAGTTTTAGTACAACTACACTGTTGTCATAATGAGGCCAGTTTTGACCACACATGCGAAATCAAATATCCTGTTGAACAATGAAGCTGCCTCAATTGCAGGGTGACACAGAGAGTTTAATGCTGCTGAATGGATTGTTTGGTCAGCATGGGTGTCCTGGCAGGAGTCTGCTCTGATCTGGTAAGCTGCCATATAAATGAGTTCTCGATGACGGCACTTGGTTATCTGAACCTTGCCATAGGCTTAAACATCACTGAGGGAGAATGGAAAATCTGATGTAGTTCTAGTTCATACAAGCAATGGGATTTTACTCTGATTAAGAATGTATTACACATAATGCATTGTGCAAGGCGTGCATAAACCTTGCCTAACAAAGCTTAAAGCAAGAAAATTGATATGGCATTAGGGCCGGTTCACGCAGAGCAGGTTTTTGAGTTCCACTGCTCTGATTTTTAATTGTTTTCTGTGTAAACATACTCTACATGGACATATTTGACCGTCGCGCTATGTCTCGCTACTTTTCAGTGTCTTACAAATGAGCACCATAGAACAACGAAGTGTCAAGTTTTCAAGATATTCAACTTTTTTAAAACGCATCACAAGACCCTGGGCTAATTTTTTCGTTCTGTTGCATCTTACGTTTAAATGTAACTTATTGTTTTTAAACATAAACATATTGATGGACCTATTTGACCTTTGTGCTGCATTTATTTAAAACAGCATGTCAAGTTAAAAGAAAAAAAGAAACTTGACTTGAGACCTGTTCTTTTACACTTGCGATATTAAATGCAAGAACATTTTTGTGTGAATGGCACTTTAAAACGTAAAACGTGCAGTGCTTGGTCTGTTTGTATGAATGATAATTATGTTGCTATGATAGATGCGAAGACGGAACAAATTTGACACTTGCTTCCAATGGATGACTGTCATTTGAATTCAGTCTCCAAGAAGGTACGACGTGATTGATTTATTTAATCACAATGAAAATACCAGTTACATAAAGACCACTATTAGAAGCCCTGTAATAACACAACACATGGCCTTTTATATTCATGAAATGAAGCCACTTTGTGTTGTTTACCTCAAGTTTCAAAGAGAGCAAGGATATTATTGGGAAAGCAGCCCTGGGGTGTGGAAGGAGAGAAAACACGTCTCCTAAGAAAATATAACTAGCGCTTCATCTTTGGGAGCTTTAATTGAAAGCTGCTGGTGGATTGAGTTGTGGATTGCCGCTGTTCAACACCTTTCTGACCCACTGCGAGCAAGTTCTCTGATCTCCACACACATACACAGATTCACTACTCATGCGTTGTTTCTGACAAATGCAGGCAAGTAATAAGTTATTCAGCGTCTTACATCATATTGAATAATGTTTAAAACTGAAAAATAGAATGACATTTCTTTATATAACAGTTTTATTGATAACATTGAGTACCTTACTTTTGAGACAATTCCTTTTAATCATTGTATCTCCGAGTAACACACAATAATGGTATTTTGTTCCTGAATGTATCAGTGTTTTTGAACGAATCAGTTGAGTTGAAAGATTCAATGACTTGTTCATAAAAACTATCACTTGTTTCATGAGTTAATTAATTAGTTTTTTTTAAATAAATCAATTAAGTGAATGATTTAATGACTCACTCATAAAGACCGTCTCTTGTTTCGTTCATGAATGAATCAGTGGTTATGAATGAATGATTTGAATAAATGATTCAATGACACACACAAAGGATTTTTTTATTCCTGAATGAACTTGTTTTTTAATTAATCGTTTAAGTGAATGATTCGATGACTCACTCAAAGGCAGTTATTCTGTTCCTGAATGAAACGGTTTTTTGAATTAATTGACTGAGTGAATGATTCATTGACTTGATTATAAAGACACTTGTCACTTGTTTTGTTCACGAATGAATAAATGTGTTTTAATGAACAGTTGAATGATTCAGTGACTCAC